GATTTGTAAGCCAGGAAATTGTATAACAAAACGAGCTGGTAAAATTCAATCATTGTATACTTTATTAAAACCAACTTGACAGAGAAATGTACAAAAAAGTTGTAGCCTAATAATGAATAGTAGAGCCACGGCAACAACTGTAAACACCTTGAACGAACACTTCGGAATTACACGTTCTATCTTCAGCAAATAACAAATCTTTAGTACAATTACTAATATAAAAATACAATGAATAGTGTTAAGAAATTATAAAACAAGAATGGAGAGCTATTTAAATAAAGCACGGGGGGGGGGGGATGAGTGTGAATTTCTAATGAGGCTTGGATTGTCATAGACTTTGTTGTTATAAGAAAGTTTACATATTATGAATGACAATCCAAGCCTCATTTATCATTTTCTATTTCCCAGAGAAATCTAAAAATTTCATTCTGATTCAAAACTTCTTGTGCGAAGTTATAAGAGCATCTGTCATATGCCAATATAAAGAACGTAAACTTGACCAGCAAATGGGTTATACAAATTGTCACGCTCTGCTGTAAATAAATTTGGCATTGTTGTGGTTAATATATGATCATATAAGTCTAATTATGAATTTACCAATTAGTTATTAATCTTTCTTTTAGTTACTAGATAATAATAGTAACTCGTTTTTATCACAAGTTTTAGCTCCCAAGAAGGACTATTCCTGTGATGTTAATGGCTAGGGTTCAAACCCGTCTCTTCTTGATAGAGAGACAGGCGTGCTATCTACTTGTCTCATTCTCTATCATTAAAACAACTAACTAGACGAGTGTCCCGGTTTTGCCAACTTGTGTGCTAGGTTGACCGAGTGTGTGATCAGTTAGATGGATGTAACAATACTTCGTATTTTTCTATTCTTTAGTTTTATTCAAATGTATTATATCATAATCTTCTCTGACGTGATTCACGGATCAGTGTTATGAATCTATTAGATGTAGTAAATAATGTTTTTATTCTCCAACTGGTCACAAAACAGTTGTCCTAAGATTTGGCTTAGATATGTTGATGATATATTCCCAGTATGGCCACACACTATAAACACAATTCACGATCCACCTGAACAGACATCTCATGGTACAATCATATCTTGGGTTCTAGTGGAGAGATAGCACACAAGTCTCTCTCTCTCTATCAAGAAAACCAAGGACTGAATATCTGCCACTCCAGAAACAGTTCTTCTCAGGATTTCTCTGAAGACAACTACTGAAATGTAGAAGTTTCCAAGAATTAAAGAAAATAAAAAGAGAGTAACTAATTAATAATGGCACATAGGTGAACATCTGGGTTACTAATCGTGACATCTGATCACCGCAACCTAACTATAGGGAGTTATGATTTGTATTATTATTACAAAAACTATTGGAGATACTCTTTGATTTTAAAACTTACATAATAATTAACAAGTGTTAAAGTAGTAACTTCTGATGGATAAAAACTTCTAAATGTTGTAAAGAGAATATCCAACTACTGGAAAAGTTCTAGCATTTTACAAAAACCTAAAGTAAAATAAAAACACTAAAATGCTTTCATACATTTTTAGTTAGCTGATCCTGCTGATATTGTGGACTACGACAACTGTTGTACCATTCTTTGGATTTCTGTCTGGAGTGACGCAGGTTCATCATTCTCCTTCTGCCATTATGAACTTCAAAGGCTTTAATTTCCTGATGTTCTTGCATGTTCATTTTTCTTTCCACATCCTGTAGGTGTTTCACTACATTTTCTTGCTCCACTTCCTTCCACAAGGATGACAGAGTGGATTAAGATAAGTAGAAAATCAGTCTTATTAGACAACTTGGTTGTTACAATACAGAATTTTTTAACAATCGATTATAACACAAGTAATAAAAGAAGTCGGTGACTTATGAATTATAAGAAGACAGAACAAAACTTAAACTTCCTCATTCATCACATCTAAGTCTCCATGAAAAAGGTTGAAGTTCAAATGGAAGAACCTGATAGTGAGCTAGTGATTAAATGACATTTCCAGTTTGATGTAACGACAATACAGAAAAGTCAAACAAATTGTCACCTTAATCTTATCAACAACTTTTAGTTCTTTGTCTTTGAAACTAAATACATATACGAATCCAGTGCAAACGAAAAGACAAGTTAAATTAATCTAAAAAAATTCCTCCACTTGAGTACATGAACAGACTTCATTTGTACAATTACAGCAATTGTATTTAAAAACAAAGAGATTTTATCATGTATTTTTGGCTTTAATAAACTAAACATTTCTTTGTTTTTTATAAAAAAACTAGTCATTGTGACATCAACTAAAACCAACGAGCCAGTTGATTTGGAAGAGAAATGTGAACAATCTTTTATGTATTTTATTAGATGAGGTACCTTCTTCGATGGATGAAGTGTTGTACCATCCAAACCAGATAATCCAGTAGGCTTAGAAGATGAATATGGGTGGGAGTAGTCTTGAAAATCCAATTTTTCAGATTCTTCCTGAATGTTCTCACTTGAATTCCTTGAGTTTATTTCTTTGGCACTGTTCCCAATGTGTTCATTATAGGTCTTTTTCTGTGCTTTCTAATATACAGAATTGTGTTTCTGTTCAGTATGAATTGTAGAAATAGGTCAAATAAGTCTGACATTCTAATTAATCAGCATATCCATCTTATATCTAAGTGAACCTATTACAAACCTCAAC